ACAGCTGCTCTGGGCTGTCTCAGCTGATGATGGCAGTGCCATCCCAGGCACCAAGGCAGGCACCATGGCACCAGCTTTGCCTCCCTCTCCCTCCTTCTTCATCCTGGGTGTCACCAAGTTCTACTGAACCTACCTCCGAAAGCCCTCCTCCGCAGACCATGACTCCCATCACAGCTGGGAACCAAGCTAGCCACCCCTGCCTCTAGCCTTCCTCTGCTTCAGTGCAGCTCCAACCGCAGCATTCGGAAGCGTCTCTGTCTCTCTGCTGCCCCCAAGAGCCCTGGTCCCTCTGACTTTCTGCAGCTCCCCTCCCTTCACTGCACATTTCACTCAGAGACTCCTTGCTACTCCCTCATCTTCCGCCACGCCTCGTCTTTTTTCTTAACTGCTCAACACACAAAACGTCCATTTCTCCTTTAACTCTGCCACATCTCTACGTGCCTAACTCCAGCTCTCCTTCTAAACTTGGCCAAATGTTACCACTCCATAGAGCATTCCCTGATGACTGGAACCCCAAAATTCTAAATCTGTTCCCCTTCGTGTACTTATTTATGCAAATACCTCACAACTAGTAAACTGCAGGCACTCTGAAAACAGCGCCAGTTTCTGAGACTTACGTGTATCCCACAGATTCTAACATAAAACCCCCAACAAGAGAAACCAATAGTTTTCCTAATCAAATAAATAGCCAAACAAATAGGGTGACAATGACTGCTCACTTAGTCAACAACTTAGGATAGTCGTCTGTGAGACAGGCATTAAGGGACCCAGTCACAAGCCTCACAGATGCCATCCCTGCCCCTAGGGAGCTCAGTGTTTGAACAAGCAGCATATGACGACCAACACGACAGGGAAAGAAGGAGGCACTACCAGCAGCCACACAGAGGAATCTACCCCAGATTATCGGAAGAGAATGTCATGCTTAAGACAAGGCTGACAGGTCTGCCTGGCCTAGGGAGGTAGCCACGGTGTTCTGACTACACGTTAGGGATTCATTAGCCCAGCAGAGCAGATCTACAAGACAGTGTTATTACCCATCTTAGAGACCAAAAAACAGGCCAACGCATAAACTCCAAGTCACACACCTCCTAAGTAGCAGACAAAAGTCATGCTCAGGTCTGTCCTAATTCCAAAACACTATTCCTCCTACAGGGGTTAACTGAAACCGTCTAGTATCTTATCATTGTTTTCAGCTTTCCCATGGCTGTCGGCGAGCTGCCCTAACCCGGCTGCCTCCTGGAGAGAAGTGAGGGCAGTTAGAACAGTCTCTCCGGGGGCCCGGGCCGGCCCCCAGCCCCTTCCCGCTACCCTGGCTCCTGCCGGCTACCCCAGCTCCTGCCCCTACCCCAGCCCCTGCCCCTACCCTAGCCCTTATCCGCTACCCCAGCTGCTGCCCGCTACCCCAGCCCCTAACCCGGCTCCTGTCCATTGCCCCGGCCCCTACCCCGGCTCCTACCCGCTACCCTGGCCCCTACCCCAGCTCCTGCCCGCTACCACGGTGCCTGCCCCAGCCCGTATCGGCTACCCCGGCCCCTGTCCGCTACCCCGGCTCCTGCCCGCTACACCGGCTCCTACCCCATCTCTTACCCCGGCCCCTGCCCGCTACCCCGGCCCCTACCCCAGCTCCTACCCGCTACCCTGGCTCCTACCCCGGCCCTTATCCGCTACCCCAGCTCCTGCCCGCTACCCTAGCCCCTACCCGCTACCCCGCCCCCTACCGCGGCTCCTGCCCCCTACCCCAGCCTATGCCCGCTACCCCAGGCCCTACCCCGGCTCCTGCCCGCTACCCCAGCCCCTACCCCGGCTCCTGCCCGCTACCCCAGCCCCTGCCCTGGCGCCCGCCCCGGCCTCGGGCCCTACCCCGGCTCCTGCCCGCTACCCCGGCCCCTACCCCGCTCCTACCCGCTACCCCAACCCCTACCCCAGCTCCTACCCGCTACCCCGGCCCCTACCCGCTACACCTGCTCCTGCCCGCTACCCCGGCCCCTACCCCGGCCCCCGCCCCGGCCTCGGGCCCAAGCGCGCGCCGCCCGCTCCCGCCCCTCCAGCGCGGCCCGCCGCAGGCCTCACCCCCGGCCCAGCCCCGGCACGTAGCCGAGTGGCGCGGGCATGCCCAGGAACGGCTTCTTCTTCTTGTTCATGGCACCGGGGACGACGAGGGTCGGCAAGGGAAGGGTCGGAGACCGCCCCCGGAGGCGAAAGCCCACAGACGTCGGAGACTTTGCCGCAGCAGGACGTCGCGGGCCCCGCGTCACCCGCGCCCCGGAAGCAGAGAGCGCGGTGCGCACGAAGCCCCACCCCCTCGGATTCCCCGGGCGGAAGTTCCGGAAACGCGTTTTTCGGCGACTTCCGGCGGCTAAGGGCTAGAGATGCGGCAGGCGCATGCGCGGGGGTTTTGCTTGGGGCGACGGCAGCAGGTGGACGGGGGGGATCCAGGAGCGACACCATCCTGGACAAAGCCTGCGGGACCTCAAAACTGAGCCTGGGGCATCCCTGCTTGCTGCGTGTTCTCCACGCATTTCCAAGGAGACCTCCTGTACGAGCAGAACCCGTGGGTCCCTTCCCTCTGAGCCAGCCCAGCCACCCACCCTGCCCTTCAGAGTTGCCCTGGCCCCGGGCAGGCCCTAACACGTTTGAGCGGAGCTGCACGCCTGTCCAGTTGTGTCGAGCTTGTGCAGGGTGTATCAGTCGTAACTGCGGGCACCCCTGTCTGTGTGTGCCCGTGTGCAGGCTGCTGCCCTCCCTCTCAGTGCTTGGATTCCAGCCCCGATACAGGCCCCACACACACCACCGCCAGACCCTGTACATTCCAGGGAGGGCAGCAAGCCAGCCCCTAGAGACCTAAATGACAAAAACAAGCAAATGCAGATCTGTGGAAACAAGTCAGGCTGTGGGCGAATTCCCCGAAACCCTACCTGTGTGCTGGTGGGCACGGGTACAGGTCAGACCACCTGCGCTGATGTTTCGGGTGGACGTGCATAACTGAGCTCTGCACACATTTCTGCATGTCCGTGTGCACCTTTGCTGGCTCTGCTGTGGGACATCTGCTGGCCCCCACATACACCTGAGAGGAGCACTCAGGCTCTTGGCAGAGCAGGCAAAACTCAACTGGTCGCAAGTCTGGCCTTCTGCTGGACCAGGCAGCCCCCAGCCCACTCTAGCACTTCTCACTGGGGTCCTGGAGGAAACACGTTCCTCCAGCCAGCCACAGCCTCCTTGGAGTTTCTCTCTCCTCCCCGTCCCCAGCCAAGCCCATTTTAGTGCCACATCCTGGGCACTGAGTCAGATTTTGGGGCTACATAGGAAAGGGGAGAGACCCTGGTTGTCCAACTAGAGTTTACAGTGTGGTGGTAGGGTAAGAGAAGGTCAAACTGGCTTCTCTGGGGAAGCAAGTGCCCATTTGAGGGAGAGACCTCTGGAGAGCTCTGGAGGATGCTGAATAAAGTAGTGAGTGAGTAAATTGAAGTAGGAATGGGGAGGGAGGTGACTGGGAGAGATCACTCTGGCCCTTGACCCCGGCCCCCGTGGGCAGAAGGTCCCAGGAGCAGGTAGGATGCCTCCCTCGCCCTGCCACACACAAAGGGGATGAATACATCTTTACTTCCCTGCCTCAGAGGCTCCTGCAGGCGCCTGGAGCACCTGTAGGTGCACAGGGTCACTCGTCCTTGGAGCCATGCCCAGGTGCGCACGGACGCCCTTTGCTCTAGCACCCTTTGCCTACGCAGACCCGCGCGCCGCCGACACACCTCGCAGC